CCAGCCTGAAACACAGCAGCACAGAGAACCCACAACACAGACACCAACCGGAAAGTGCACAGGGAATTTTCAAAATACAACACACAGACCAGAATCACCACTATATATATATACAGTATATCGGTGTGGAACAGGTACACAACAAATTTCACTGCGCGTTACATCATGTACAACTGTGTTTGTGTCCAAAAAAGGCCTTGAGTCCTTGAATCCTTGAATCATTAAATGAAAGATGTTTGCAAGTAGAGACTTGATATTGTAGAACAAACAAAAACAGAACTTCCAGCTGCCAATTTAGGAATTTCCCAGTGATGCAACATGAAAGCAGGTTGTGTACGGGCAGTGGTGTGAGTGATGAGGCAACAGTGGACCAAATGAGTGTAAATTTCAGCATATTTTCTTCTCTCAAGCATCACAAAGCAACTGATGAGAGTCACCAAGAGAGTCAGAGATTCACCAAACTTAAACCACTCAAGCCCTGTGAAAATGAAGACATTTAGTGTTGCAGTTGCAGTAGCCGTGGTGTTCACCTTCATCTGCATCCAGCAGAGCTCTGCCACTTTAACCACGGTAACAACTCAACCCATGTTAATGCCTTATTTGCTATGACCGTGCTGCTACAATGCTAAGATCTGATTTCTTCACAGAGTTGGAGGAGACAATGAACAATCCAGCTGCTGAACACCAGGAGACATCAGTAGACTCATGGATTCAATTTACTGAATGAATTAAGGCAATTACAGTAGGATTATTTAAATGCAAGCGCATGTGTTTTTGTGTGCCGATTCCCTCTGCATGAGAGGAGAAAGTGTAAAGAGAGTGAGTGATAATGTTGGAAATTAATCCTTTTCTTATATCTTGTCTCTATCACACAGATGCCGTGTAACAGAAGCGTGGCACCGATTGTCGCTTCTGCTGCGGCTGCTGCACTCTTGGGGTCTGCGGATGGTGCTGCAGATTCTGAGATTCCCAACATCAACCACATATTAATTTGCGCTGTCATCTTAAAACAAATCTATCATTTGGAGCTGTATTCACATCTATAAATGTTGACGTTGTTTCTGGATTGGATCATTTTGTCTTTACAGTGTGCTTGATATATGGTGTGTTGTCACAATACATTTCAATGTAACTATATTGCAGTGTGTATTTCAGTGACAAACATAAGTACTTTTTTTCACAGAAAACAAGTGTAAAAAAGTAGCGATGGCTGAATTCCATTTAGTTGCTTTGATGTTAGGTTGACCTGCTGTGGCACTGTCATGGCTTACTGGGATACATGAAAAAAACAGTCACTCTTTATGTTATTAGTGATTTTACTGACTAGTTAGAATACTTGCTGTGAGAAAGCAACATAAGTGGAAAGAATGGCATTATATTACATTTCTACATTCATAAAGTGTTGCAGTTGTTTAAAAAAAAAAAAACAAAAAAAAACAGTAGCTCCTAAAATGGCGTCTTTAGAACAGGACAAGGGTGCTCTGAGATTTGCTAATCACTTATAGGATATTCTACATTTGGATCATCAGCTTGTGCAGCAAATTGTGAGGATTCCTGCCAGAAATCTCGACATTTTTTCTTGATTTGGTCAAGGCAACAAGGCTGCATCATCCAGGTAATACACTAAGCATCTGATACTACAGCAATAAGCATCAGTGTCAGTATATTTCAATGTGTAAAAGTGTCACAAACATAAATAAGCCTTTCCATGTTACAATAGAAAGAGCAAAGGGATAGACAGTGTGATTAATGAGGGCTCAGTTCCATTTAGTTGCTTCAGCTTTGGGGTGACCTGCAGTGAACGTGTAAAGTGACAAAAGCTGAATTAAAAATCAGTAAATGGTGTCATTTCTGTTGCGAGGAATCTCTCAGTTAAAACAATAATAATACACATGGTTTGATTATTTGAAGTGTAGGATCGTGGGAACTGTCATCTTCACCGCTATTGCCAGTGAAAATGCATCTGACGTGACTCACAGACAAAGAACTATATTCAAGCTTACTTCATGTTCTGTTAAAAGTCACATATAGTCAGGTTTAATGAAAATTATGTGAAAGCAACAGCTGCAAAA